TCTCACAAACTGTCGTAAAATAAAACTCGCTTTTGACAGGAAACAACCAAGCTACACTACATTCCTTTAGTATAGTTCGATCGTTCTTATGCGATAATATTGTGTCTCACAAACTGTCGTAAAATAAAACTCGCTTTTGACAGGAAACAACCAAGCTACACTACATTCCTTTAGTATAGTTCGATCGTTCTTATGCGATAATATTGTGTCTCACAAACTGTCGTAAAATAAAACTCGCTTTTGACAGGAAACAACCAAGCTACACTACATTCCTTTAGTATAGTTCGATCGTTTATATGCGATAATATTGTGTCTCACAAACTGTCGTAAAATAAAACTCGCTTTTGATAGGAAACAACCAAGCTACACTACATTCCTTTAGTTTAGTTCGATCGTTCTTATGCGATAATATTGTGTCTCATTAAACACTTAAGATATTATTTGTTGACAATTTTGTTATTATACTAATGATAAAAAAGTGGACAAAAAGTTATTAAATGATTCATTAAATCGACTTGTTTAGGGACTTACTCAGAATAGTTGACAAAATGAAAAAACCTTTTGAGAATGGTTTCAACAAAAGTCATTATTTCATCAAATTAAACTCATAATTGCCTCTTTCATAACTTTCCAACTCATAAAATAAAACTAATTATTGCCTCTTTCATAACTTTCCAAATCGTCAAATAAAACTAATTATTGCCTCTTTCATAACTTTCCAAATCGTCAAATAAAACTAACTATTACCTCTTTCAAAAACTTCTAAATCATCACAAAAAATATTCATTTTTAATGCACATGGTCTAATACTGCAACAAAAAATACTAAATTTACACGAATAGGCATCATGCCTAATGTTCATTGTTCTCTCTTTCTGAACACACACATATCTATATATGTATATCTTTGTGTGTGTCATCTATCTTCACAGAATTTAAGTAGTTATGTTTCAGTCACATAACTAATAATATGTAGTTCGTAAATCATAGCCCCTCGACGGCTCAGGGGTAAGTTTAAGAGCTTATATCCCTAATACTCACGGTTCTATACGATTGATAAACGCAACGCAGATAACCAGTTGTGTAGCTTTGCTCTTAAAGACAAACGAAACAAATCCTATGATATGAAATCATTTCAAAGCATTAAAACATCATTTTTACCAAATAAACACACACACACACACATATATATATATATGTGTGTGTGTGCATTTAAAAACACCTTTGCTAATAATACATTGTTTGTTTTTCTGGATATTCGCGCAGAGCTATTCAAGAAATATCTACTTCAGTTGTCCTTAATTTTGAACTCTTGTCTAACAAAATTGTGGGAATGGAACAATTTTTTATAACACACCTACGGCCCCAAAGTACTGTTATATAGTACGACACGCTAACCACTCCTGGAATTACATCCAGAGGTTTGTGGCGGTTCGTGTGCAAACTTAAACTTGTTATCAGAAGTAAGGTCGTTAAATTTTGCCCCCCCCCCCTCCCGTGGCACAGCGGTATGCCTACGGACTTGCAACGCTAGAATCCGGGTTTCGATACCCGTGGTGGGCAGAGCATAGATGGTAAATTGTGTTGCTTTGTGCTTAACTTCAAACAAACAAACAAACTGTTAATTTTTATCACACCAAACAACCAACAAGCCCGAAACAAAACGGGATAGATATGGACCGCGAGATTTTAATTTTAAAACAATTCCACGTGTAGTAAATGGTTTACTACGAAACTTGTTATCAGAAGTAAGTTCCATTAAATTTTATTACATTAACAACCAGCAAGTCCGAAATAAAAGGGGATAGATACAGACTGCGAGATCGGACGCGAAATTTTGATTTTAAAACAATTCCACGTGTAGTAAATGGTTTACTACAAAATGGCAATGATTAAAAAAATAATTGTATTTACATCGAATACGCCAATTAAAACATACGTATTCTGTGTAACTTGTAAAGAAGTTATCTTCTGTTGAAAGATCTTACTGATTTGTTAACCAATCAGAGTCATCATTACATCCGGACGTATCGTTTGTCAGTAAAAAAGTCGCAAGGATTGTTATCTTGTGTTGAAAGCTCTTACTGATTTGTTAACCAATCAGAGTCATCATTAGATTGAGGCATGTCGTTTGTTCGTAAAATAGAACGAAACTACAACAGGAAATAGTTTAAGGGTTATTGGCGAGAGAAATGTTTTTCCATTTGAGATTTATCCACTCTTGATCCCACTTTATTAGAAGAATAAAAATATAAAACATGCACATATTATATATGTATAATTTCAAGAAAAAGGGAGTTTTTTTTTAATTTTCCAATTACGAATTAAACATTTTTCTGAAATCAATGTGCATTTTCGACAATAATTCAAAGCTTAATACCACTGTTCATAATTTATTATATGCTCAACAAAGAGGTTCGATTTAACCTTTCTGGAAATAGGCTTAACATGCGTAATTTGGATAACTTTTAGTAATAAATAACGAAAAACTTCTTAAATTAAAACTGGTTTATCAGCTTTAGTATTCCTCAGATGGCAGTCTGACACAGCTCAAAATAACTGATGACGTCATAATATATTCTGAGCTTTGTTTAAGTTGAACTTATCCAAAACATTTTATTTAAAGATGTATCAAGAAAATATCACTTGGTATTGAGGTACGGCCTTAATGCACCAGAAGCACTTGTAACTGCAAGAAACCCCACATTTATATAATTATTACATCGGATTTTATGGCATAAATTAAAGGAAAAACTTCCCCCAATGGGTCCCCGATATGCACGTGGACTTATAACGCTAAAAGCCGGGTTTCCAAACTCGTGGTGGGCACAGAACAGATAGCCCATTGTGTAGCGTTTTTGCGTAACTTCAAACAATCAATTAAAGGAAATGACAAAAATCAAAACTTGTTCTCTGGCTACAATTACAGAAAACACAAAAAAAGACATTAAATTTCGTAACGTATATTATTCAACTTTTGATGTTTATTCCTTAACTCAAGTTCGTCAGCAGTTTTTGTTTTCTTAATGCTAGGCTACACGCAATGGGTTATCTGCATTCTACCCATCGCGGGGAATCGAACCATGGATTTCACCGTTGTAAATCCGTAAATTGACTGCTGACTCACTGGGCAACTCCGAAAGTCATACAGTCATATTAGTGGTCGCCTTACAATAATTCTTAATTAATAAATACCATTGTGGACACATGTACTTTCTTATTTAAACTTGAACTATTCTTATTCACCCTATAAAAAAATACAGTAAAATTAGAAATGGGGGGCTAAAAAAAATGCTAAGGCCGGTCCTGTTGATATTATGCAGCTTACAAAGAAAAAAAAAGATGGTTTGAGCAAATCTGAATAAATTTCGTTAAATTTTGTAACGTCAAATATTGAGTATTGTGAGATACTTAGCAGATGTATTTATTTAGGTGTACGAGGTGTCAGCACCCTCTGTACGAATAAACATTTTTAATCTGGTACCTTCCAAAAGAAATATTCAAACGTTTAGTAAGATTTGTTTAGATAAGAATGGAAACGTGATGTTTCGTAAGAAAGCATGAGTTGATATAAGACATCCCATTCCTTTCCAGAAAATTAACAAATTATCCCTCTAAATCTCAAACTTAAGATGTTGGTTCGTGACGTTTACCTTGTTCTTTGAATATACAATGACCTAACGTGATTTTAAATATTTGCCTTCTTTCAAAAATTCTTCTTCTACTGTATATATATATATATGCGTAAACAATATATTAACCAAAGATTTCAATACAGTACCAAATACACTTCAGTGAAGGACATCTTAACATTTTATATACGTATATACTAACATATTACATACGCATATCTATTTACATCTATACATATACATCTTTTTTCCTTTTATTTCAATTAAGCCATCCAACTATTAATTTGGGGCGTTAGTATATTTCCATTTTAATAAAATTGTTATTCTGTCAAATAACAACTACGATATGTATACATCTGGCTTTTGTTTTGTTATATAAACATCACACACACAGCTGGAATGGGAATGAATTAGTCATGATACGAAATGGTGAAATAAGGAAGACTAAAGTCCATTGTAATGGACATAAGAATTGCCATTGTCTTTAAACAGGATTGAGTTATTGCTCAACAGGAATTGAATTTGTTTTCAACACAGTGTTCTCATCGAAAGGAGAAAAGGGATTTGTAAAATACGGGGTCAGCGGTGAATATGAACCAAGTCTAATTGTAGCAGTGTTTGGTGGAAATTGAAAGTGTGTCGTTGTTCGAGGAGAGTAATGGGGACTTGTTAGGGAGAATGGACTTAGAGGGCTCCATATCGGTAAAGGTATCAAGGAGTTCTTTCCTTGTGGTAAATATGGACTGGCGAAAGTGACTATAGGTGTTTGCAAAGAAGCAAAACTACTCAAAGACAGCTTCGCATTGCTTGATGGGACAGTCAATATGGGTGGTGGTTTTGGTTTTGATTTAGAAGTTGTAACAGCAGGTGAAACCACTATAAATGAAGATGTAGCTGGAGCAACAGATATCGGTGAGGATACAGAAGACGACCTGGAATCTGTATCAATTTCAACTTTCATTCGTTTAGATGCTGGCTCAAAAGAAATCTTGCTTTCAATATTATCCTTACTGTGATCTATCTTCGAATATTCATCGTTTTCGTTCGACTTCTTCACTTCATCTTCATTTAACACTGCCATGTGCAGGACTGGAGAATTTCGATTCAAAGATGTAACGCTAGGCACTTGAAGAACAGAAGAGGATCTCTTAACTTTAGAATCGTCGTTTTTCTTTTCATTGTTTTCTCTTAAGTCTAACGGAACTGCCTGTTGGTAAGAAGCGATAATTTTAGCTTCAGAAGTAGACATCGTATATGGAATGAAGGGCGCCCTCTGGAAAATAATTCCGCTTGTTTTTGTAATGTTCTCCATCTTTACACGGAACGGAATTTTGTTTTCAGTCTTCACTATTTCAGGGAACGATACAAAACGATAAACAAATTTCTGCCCTAATACTTTTTTAATTATATTTTTGTCATAATAGTATCTCAAGGCACGGCTTAGCTTGTCGTAATTCATATTCAATTTGTTCTTCCGCAGTCCCCACATACGAGCCACCTCTTCTGCATTCACCAGTTTGAATTCACCTTCGTTATTTGTCCACGTTATGATGTGATTATACTTATTGCTCAGCAACAACTCCAACAGAAACTGCCACAAAGTGATATTCGTATCCATACCTACAGATAAAACGAACAAGAAATATTAGCAAATTGATAAAGATGATCCAATACTAAACTTAACCATAGATAAAATTTTATCAGCTGCGTCTAATAATAATAATAAAAACTGCCCATTCGCAAAAGTTAGTTTCATTGCATCTGTGTTGTTCTGGTTATACACACATGTATTATTATACGTTAGCCCCTGTGTATTGTTCTAGTTATATACTCATGTATTATTATACGTTATCCCCTGTGTATTGTTCTGGTTATATACTCATGTATTATTATACGTTATCCCCTGTGTATTGTTCTGGTTATATACTCTTGTATTATTATACCTTACCCCCTGTATGTTGTTCTGGTTATATACTCTTGTATTATTATACCTTATCCCCTGTATGTTGTTCTGGTTATATACTCATGTATCATTATGCGCTGTTCCCTGTGTATTGTTCTGGTTATATACTCATGTATCATTATACGTTATCCCCTGTATACTGTTCTGGTTATATACTCATGTATCATTATGCGCTGTTCCCTGTGCATTGTTCTGGTTATATACTCGTGTATTATTATACGTTATCCCCTGTATATTGTTCTGGTTATATACTCATGTATCATTATGCGCTGTTCCCTGTGTATTGTTCTGGTTATATACTCATGTATCATTATACGTTATCCCCTGTATATTGTTCTGGTTATATACTCATGTATCATTATACGCTGTTCCCTGTGTATTGTTCTGGTTATATACTCATGTATCATTATACGCTGACATCGCTAAATCTGATTTATTTTCTACGTTGTAAAATACCAGAGAACTAGTGAACTAAATACCGTTTCATAACAAATTGTTTTAAATTCGTTTGTGTCAACCATGGATATAATAATATAAACTGTGAAACAAATCTTTCTCCTATTTTATGAAAACATTTTTTCAGAAACAGAATCACAAATAAAAATATATACATTTTTAATTCACATAGAACATTTTTAACAATTCCTAAAATCCTGTAGTTGCTTAAGTTGTTTTAGACTTATATATTCACCCATCAAGCCATTTTAAACGTTACTTTACAAGTAATTTACCGTACCTTCAAATCACATCAGAACCAAATCATTACAAACGATTGTAAGAATAGTAGTAGTTTCTACCTAGTCATAACGACCTTTAAAATAATCAACAAAACTATGACCTTTCAAAATGTAAATCTACCGTCATAGCGAATGACATACAAATTTAACCAACTCTCGTAATGCGAGTAACAAGGTTCTTATTACAAGTCATGGAGTTGCAACAGTGTTCATCAATTAGGAAATGACGACAATCTTAAGGTACAGAAATTACCAGTAATTTTGTTATCTGTCTAACTATATTCCCAGTCGCCTGTTAACCAATATTCTAAAAGGAAATAAGCTATTACATCCATTAGCCTGCCCTAGCTTTCCGGCTCTGTAAAGCCTACTTGATCGCCGTGTTAGCAGTCTTTCTAACTTCAAAGGAACTGGAATTATCAAGTATTTTATTCATAAGATAGAATTAAAATTCAAATAGGTTTGATTAGTTAACTGAAGTTTAAAATATGAGTACGTTTTGTTTTTCAAAATACAAAGCGATTTAGGAAGGCCAACATTGGCAAGTAAATATAATATGTCATCCGATATCTATCTCATTCGTTAAGATCCTAAAAATACAGCATATTTCAAGAGAAGGTGATATTCAAAACAGAGGAGGGGAGCATAAACTACAACATATACTTACTTCAGAAGGTTTTTGTTGTTTGTTATTAAGCACAAAGCTACGCAAAGGGCTATCTGTGCTCTGCCCACCACGGGTATCGAAACCCAATTTCTAGCGGTATATGTCCGCAGACATACCACTGTGCCACTGAGTGGCTACTTTAGAAGAGTAGACACTTCACACAGTAGAAACTTTGGACTACTTTGTGGGAAGGATGGATTAGAGCATACTATGTTGTGACTTTATATTAAAAAGGAGTATAGATTTATTCACATTGACGGAAACTTTAATCTAATTTTAAAACAAGTTAGATACGGTATATAGAGGAATGGCAGCCCCAAAACACTAATTCTGCGAAATATTTGACCTCTGACTTCTTTAAAATCACAAAAAATGCGCAGCCTGTTTACTTCAGTGTTGGAGTTGTCGTAAGGTATCTTTGTGCCAAGTATCACCTGGATTTGTCGGCTGGTGAAAATATAGAAGTTTGAGATTTTTTTAAACTTGTGAAATAAAACAACAAGCACGTGTCTCAAATCTGTCCCATGTTGGTCAAAATATAGAAGAACGGCAGACCAAAAACCTGCGAATCTTTGACTCCTGTAAAAATCGCAAGAAAGGCCAAATCCCATATCTATCTATTTCATTCTGTGGGGTCTGTTGCGATGTATATTTGTGCAAAGCATCATACAGTTTGTTTATTTTGAATCTCGCGCAAAGCTACACGAGGGTTATCTGCGCTAGCCGTCCCTAATTTAGCAGTGAAAGACTAGAGGGAAGGCAGCTAGTCATCACCACCCACCACCAACTCTTGGGTTATTATGTTATCAACGAATAGTGGGATTGACCCTCACATTATAACGCACCCACGGCTGAAAGGGCAAGCGCGTTTGGTGGAACGGGGATTCGAACTCGCGACCTTCAGATTACGAGTTAAGCGCCCTAACCACCTAAATTGACCCATGTAAAATCGCAAGAAAGGACCAAATTCCAAATCTGTTTGTTTCAGTCTGAGGGAGTTGTCGTAGGGTATTTTTATTGAAGTTTTCCTCTGGATTGTTCTAAATATAAAGATATAGCAAATCGAAAAACCCTCATTTTGATAAGTATTTTGTTTTTATATATATATTTGAACCCTATCAAATCCAAAGAAAGGCACAAATCACTGTCTGCTTTGGTCTCCGAGGTCTCAAGGTACCTTTATGCCAAGTATAATATGAGTTAACGGAAACATAAGGGAGCAAACTGCAGGTTAAAATATGTTTTTTTGTAATGTCTGACCTTTGCACCCCCAAATCGAAATAATGGCCTAAATAGAAAAACATGAATGCATTGGACCAAAGTATGTGCCCTACAAGTTTAATGACATAAATATATAATGTAACTGTTGAAAGATAATAGAAACATGGTGAATACAATGTCTCACTCCATACGAGGGAAGATATAATTAGAACATGGCGAATACAATGTCTCACTCCGTACGGGGGAAGATATAATTAGAACATGGCGAATACAATGTCTCACTCCGTACGGGGGAAGATATAATTAGAACATGGCGAATACAATGTCTCACTCCATACGAGAGGAAGATATAATTACAACATCAACCTGGCAAGATTGTAACATGAAACTAATGGTAGTAATACAAACTGATAGAGTATGTAGTTTTTGTCTTGCATCCCTCGGTATCTTTAACTTTTAGTGTAGCTGGAAACTTCATACAAACTACTTTTTTTTTATAAGTAGCGACAGGGTATGATTTGATCGATTAAATTACAACAGAATAGCAGAACAACTGTTACTTTCCCTAACTTGCAGCATAAGCATGGAACCTACTTGAGCATTTAAAAACATAGTGATTAGAAATGAAAGAATTCTGAAGCTAGTGAAACCTTATAAATCATAGGAAAGCTTTTAAGTAATTAATTAAATAAATTACAATTTATTTGTCTTTTTTTTAAAAAAAGAGAATCATACCAAAATTGTACAAAAACAAATAAATATTCTCACCTTACAATATAAAACGAGGTGTGATAATCTTTTGAATTACACAGTCATACTAAACGCAGAGAAATCTCAATAAATATTCTCACCTTACAATATAAAACGAGGTGTGTTAATCTTTTGAATTACACAGTCATACTAAACACAGAGAAATCTCAATAAATATTCTCACCTTACAATATAAAACGAGGTGTGTTAATCTTTTGAATTACACAGTCATACTAAACGCAGAGAAATCTCAATTTTATCTTTGAAACTTCAAACGTCTGAAGCATAGATCTAAATATGTTCAGAGAAAATGCACCCAACCCATTTTATACATATATAAACCGGAACTTCTTAACACGCGAGCTAAGGCAACATTTTACCAGGTTTTTCATTATAAAACACGGGATTATAAAAAACGCGCGGCATTGTGCATTCACCTGTATGATTAATGAAACTAAACAAAGAACAAAAAATAGTTCTGTGTGAGTTTCAATGCAGTTTACGAAAGCGTTGTTAGTTTTGTATACGCTAAGATGTGAGTCAAGGTACTGTCAACATTGTGAGAGGCATATTCAGCTGAAGAATGTTCATTACACAGAACTGAGATGCAAACAAAACATAGTACGTGTCATTGTGAGCTAAGTCACGTGATTATTTAACCATGACGACGACTTCAATGTCTAATAAAAAAAACTGCTCCTTTACAAGTGTGACTTTTTATTCACTGTGTTTTGTTGTTTTGGTTAAATATTATCGTTACCCATACTCACATTACCAAATCTGCTTTATGTTCTACGTGTACGGCAAGCCATCAAGGCCATAACATATTGCTTTAAGACATTGATTGGCCAGCACTCATTATGTTGAGTCAATACACTTATCTTTGTAGTTAGTAGCCAACAGGACGATAACGTATTGACTCAACTCATTGTCGATGTTTGGCTACGTACTGGATCAACATGCTATGGCCCTAGAGGGCCGTAAGGTACTGAGTCAAAGCATTAGGTCAACACGTTATGCCCCAGTAAAACAGTAACCAACAAGGTCATAGCGTATTGTCTCAAAATATCCAATATTACTGTCGTAATTCACACTCGACTTCATATTTTAAGGATATTATATTTTATATATATACTTAATAATATGAGGCCTAGCAAATCTCATTGGCTATTTCGAATGCTTTGAATCAATACGTTATAATCCCATTGGCAACCCAATTACAGGGTCATAATGCTTTGATCCAATGCGTTACAATGACATCATGTGATTGAAAACTATGTTATCAGTTCCTTGTTCGGCAACGAGTTGAATCAATACGTTATAGCCCCGATTGTCTGCAATATACGTGTACCATTGTTTCATTATTACCACGGTTCATCTCAAGATTGTCCTTTATCGCGAATTTATTGAGCAACATCTAAATGTCGTTCTAATTATTCTCAAAGCATAAGAAACTTACTATTTGCGTAATCTTACTCAAGGTATCTAATATATGCATAGGAAGCTGACTTTAAACACCATTTTACACCCTTAATTACATTATTCTGAGTATGTAATATATGCATAAGAAGCTGACGTTCTACATTATTTTACACCATTAATTACTTGGGAATGTATTATCTAGATGCATAGGAACTGACCTCATTTGCAATTGTACATCATTAATTGTTCTGGATATCTAATACATTCATGTTAATCTATCTGCAACATTGTACACGTTTAATTTCATTTCATCGTTAAATTGTAGTATATAACGAACTTAAGCTTTGATGTTCAGATATAAACACATAATGAAATCTGCAAAATGCCACAGTTAGCCAGTCTCCATTTTTGCTTTGAAAATCGATAAATGACAGAAAAAAAACACATTTTAATCACCACAATAGCTGCCTACAGAGTAGGTGTGAAAATATAAGACGGTTATTAGCACCTTCATGATTCGTGTGTTAAAACGAGAAATAAAATCAATATTCTCTGTATTTTGAAAGAACTTCAGTGGCCGAAATTCATAATTCTCAAAAGTGAAACGTTTAGTTATATACGAGATACGTGTAAAGAAATTATTTTGGGTCATGGTCACTTAAAATATCCCTTTAAGAAAAACATTTGGCACTAATTTGTTTCTGTGAGCTGATAATTAACATCATAATAGTCATGAACATAATAACCACTTCTACACTCTTCCTATACTAAGAACCTTACAGTAGATCAGGTTAAAAACATAATATATAACCTGTCTACAGGAGTTGCCAAGCTACATTCTTACAGTCAAATATAAGAAACGACAATGTCACAAACTTATCTCGTTGCTAAAGCGAAGTCACGAGCTTTATTCACGAGTTCTAGATGTTAAGTAAACCTGCTCGTGACTATAACAGCAGTTGCTCTTGCGAATCCATTTGAAATAACATAAAGGATAAGATTTGTCCTTTGTCACATGAAAAAAGTTGGATAGCCCTTAGCTTCTGCAGACGACGAACTATTGGAGGGAAGGAAAACAAAAGGGTCAGAGAAGGATGTGGATGATAAGGAGGTTATAGTTATAGGTGATTCCTTAACAAGGCATGTGTATAGGATAGTCCGTGGGGTAAATAGTAAGAAAAGAATCAGATTATGTTACTCAGGGACACAGGTAGAGGATATAACGGACAGAGCAGGAGATATAATAAAAGGAGCTAGCAGAGATGCTGTTTTTGTGGTGCATGTAGGGAATAATGATGTAAGGAAAGGTAGGTCAGAGGAGCTAATTAATAAGTACAAGGGGTTGATAAAAGCATTTAAAGAAAAGGCCATAACTTCATTTTGTCAGGGATACTGCCCAGAATTAACTGTGGGAGTGAAGTTATAAGTTGACTACTAAAGCTAAATACTAGGCTTAGGTTAGTATGTAGGGATGAGCAGATTGGGCCAGGAAAAACTAAATGCAAAAAAGAAAATAAGAGACAGAGAAAAGTTTAGCATAGGAAATTAGTATAGAAGTAGTTAAAAGGATAGGCTTAATTGTTACTATTGTAATACTAGAAGTATAAGGAATAAAATAGATTACTTTAGAACACTGCTAGGAATGGAGGATTCTGATATAATAGGAACAACTGAAATATGGTTAAACGTAGATGATTTTGATGACAGAAATTTCTTTGAAATAAAGGGTTACAGGCTAGGGAAGTAGTGGCTTTATATGTAAAATGCGAGTTACATCCTGTTGAAGTTGAGAATATCAAAGATAATAGCAAGAAGAAAAAAGGCTTTTAGTAGGAATTTGTTACAGACCACCAAATGATACTGATGAAATTAGTGAGAAACTTTACAATTAGATTAAATTTCAGCTGTTAATGAAGTCATAATTATGGGTGATTTTAATTTCAGGCATATAGATTGGGAAATGATAGAGTCAAATCATCAGGGAGAAAGGTTTTTGGAAACTGTTCAAGATAGCTTTCTTCACCAATAAGTGATGGAACCTACTAGAAGCAATGCTATTTTAGATTTATTGTTAACTTCAAATACAGAAATGATTGAGAGGGTGGAAATTTGGGAACATCTGGGTGCAAGTGATTATTTCTCTTTTAGGTTCAATGTTTTGCTGCATAATGAGATAAGTAATAATGATATTTTGGTTACAAATGTTTAAAAATCAAATTTTGAAGGGATGCAACAAGCATTATCCAAATCGAAAAGAATTATCCATTGGAATTAGGCAACTGAGGTATTTGGAGACACTAATCAGATGTAGAAAATTTTTAAATATTCAAGGTAAACATATTCCTTATAGTGGTTGGAGATGGCTTGAATGGGTAATGAAGACAAACTTTAACATAAGTTTAACATAACAGCAAATGTACAACGTTTCGACAAGGTTTTGTTAAAGTTATATTAAAGTTTTTCTTCATTTCCCATTCAAGCCTTCTCCAACCATTATTAGTCTCAGCGTGGGTTCCTCATCATCGAACATTCCTTATAGAAAGAAACGGGTAGCTACAGATAAAAATCAGGTTGGCTCACAAAGAGTATAAAAGATAAAACTAAAGAAAAGCATTATAAATTTAAAAAAATTACTGGTATAACAAGAGATTTAGAAGATTATAGAAGACCAAGAAAGTTGGTGAAACAGGAAATTAGGACTATCAAAAAGAATGTATGAGAAACGTTTGTCTGAAAATTTAAAAATTAACAGTAAGGATTTCTTTAAATACATTAAGGGTAAACATAATGTTAGGATCCTTGAGGAATGATAAAAGAAGGCCTGAATCTGATAATTATGATATAGCTGGATTATTAAATTGTGTTTTCTCTTCAGTTTTTACAAACGAAGATTTAAGTAGTATTCCACATCTTGAACAGTTGACAGATGGAAACAAAATCAAACAAGATGACTGCATTAATTCTGGTTAAGAGAAAATTGAGAAATTTAAAGAATGATAAGACTCCTGGGCCAAAAAAAATATTTCCCCAAGGTTTTGAAGGAGGTTAAAGATTGGATATGTGAGGCATTTGCTACTATTTTATTTTTAGCCCTTGAATAGTAGGCAGGTACCAAAGGATTGGAAGTTAGCTAATGTAACTCCTATTTTCAAGGGAGGTGATAAAAATTGTCCCAGATATTACAGACCCATTAGTCTTACATCAGTTCTTGGAAAATTTTTGGAAAGTTTGATAAAAGATGCTTTGCAAAGTCATTTAACAAAGTTTAGAATGTTATTGGATAGTCAACATGGTTTCAATAAGGGAAAATCTTGTCTTACAAATCTTTTGACATTCTTTTAAAAGGTTATTCCTTATGTAGCTGAGGGTAAGTGTGTAGATTTCATGTATCTGGATTTTCAGAAAGTATTTAACAAGGTGCCACATAAAAGGATTATAAAAAAGATATCTATAGGTGTGGGGGGATAGGTTAGCAAATTGGATAGAAGAGAGGCTGGATGGAAGAAAGCAGAGGGTTGTTACAAATGGAGTTTAGTCAAACTGGATTAATGTCACAAGTGGGGTACCTTAGGGCTCAGTCTTAGGACCTTTGCTCTTTTTGATTTACATCAATGACATAGATGAAAAAATGGTCAATAAATTACATAAATTTGCAGATGATATTAAGGTCTTGGGTGTTGCTAACTATGAAGCGGATGCTGATGATTTACAAAATGGATTTAGATCATTAAGTAAGTTGGACAAATAAATGGCAAATGTGTTTTAATTATAATAGATGCAAGATACTGCAAGTTATCATAATTTGAATTATAAGTATAATTTGGATGAGAATAACTTTAACAGTGTCATGAAACAAAGGAATCTTGGTGTAATAGTTGCTCAGTCTCTAAAGCCATCCAAGCAGTGTGCTGTTGCTAGCGGTAGGGCAAATAGGATTTTAGGTTGCATCTACAGAAATATCGAATACAAGTCTAAAGAGGTTATAATTTCATTGTATAGGTCACTGGTTATGCCACATTTGGAATATTGTGCTCAGTCTTGGTCTCCTTACCTTAGGAAAGGCATTGAAGTTTTGGAAAGAGTTGGGTCATTAGAATGGTGCCTAGGATGAAGGGGTTGACTATGGGAAGAGGTTGAAATCTCTCAAACTGATTTCTCTGGAAAAAAGAAGAATTAGGGGGATATGATTGAGGTGTTTAAGATTGTAAAGGGAATTGATAGTGTTGATGCATCATCTTTATTTTTATACTTAACAGTGAGAATAGTAGGACTAGGGGACACAAGTATATATATTTTGGCAAGGTAGGAGTCATCTTCAGCTAAGACAGTTTTATTTTGCTAATAGGGTGGTTGGCCTTTGGATCGTGTAGAAGCAGTAAATTTAAGTGAGTATAAGAGAAAGCTTGATAAGTATATGAATGATAAGGGCTAGCTTTAAGATTTTTGAAAAATATATTTATTAATACTTTTAGTTTAGCTTAGAGGATGGAACAAGAGGTCCCATGTTGTCCCAAAATATAATGTTTACTGGATTGATCACTCTGGCTATACTTCCTGGACTTCTGGATTCACACAAGATGGTGTTCCAGACTAACAATATCTTGCATTATGCAATTAAATCACTAGTGGCTAATTCACTCAGAGCAACTAGTACTATCTAATAATGGCTGGAGACACCTGATGATGACAAAACGTTGTACATTTGCTGTTAT